TCATGCACACACTGGTGTTTCGTCTAGTCTACCAGACTGATCCTCAGTGAAGGGAAGTCGACACACTAGCCATTCAAACAGACTGGAGCATCTGGTAAAAACCTTGGTGAGGCCTTCCACTGAGCCCTGGAGATCAGTGGCAGGCTGCTGGTGAGGAGTGAAGCTCTCTAAGCAGGTGGTGTAGGCCTGAGCAGTGTTCTGTCCAGGGACGACTGGCAAACAACACTGACTGGTTAACTGTCAGCCAATGTGTTTGGAAGCTGGGAATTAAAGAAAGTGTCACACATACCAGTACTGTGCATGTGTGACACTCTTTACATGATGTCAATCACTTAAAACCTTTAATCACAGGGTTGCTGTGGCTCAATCATGAATAATCACAAACATAATTTGTCATGAATAATCGTGATTGATCGAGGTCAATTGTGTTTCACACCTCTTATTTGTAATTAATCCAAATTATGAAAAATGTCAAGACAATTACGCAAATGTATAATCCTACCAGAAATATGTAACAACAATGTACATGTTTTAATGGAGTTGGTAGGTTATAGTCATAACACTGTGTCTGAACAGTGGCCTGCAGATCCTGTCAAGAGTTTGAGATATATTTTATCTTTACGTTCTCCGGTATTTAGAATCATTTTAGGAATTCTATTCCGTAAAAATACTGCATCTTCTGTAAAATGATGTTTAGGATTGGATTTCAAGCAAAACATTCCAGGCTTTTTGGAAACTTTTTAAAACAGCCCTGGTCTACTTGTTGGGTTAAGTCAGTATGTATTTTAGTATTTACATAAATTCAATTTAAATGTACATTACTACTAAAGCGACTGCACTACCCATTTGTGACTTTTTACACACTTTCTCGAGCGCTTGGCTTGTTGCTCTGAATTTTGTCGTTTCTCTTTGAAGACTTTGGAACATGACCTGAGATGACCTGTGACATTTTCAACATATAATGATGCATAATGCCCAGTTTAACTAAAAGCACTTCTTAGGATGAGCAGTCCTGACAAGTATATGCAAGGAAAAAAACAAAAAAAAAATCACTTACATATTTAAATCTGTCAGCCTGTGTTTGACATGCTGAGAAAGGTTAACCAAACAGCTGAAGAACATGAGCAGCCAATCTGACACAACAACACATATTTCTGGGTCCTCATCAAGAACTGCTCTGCTGAGCCCCATTACCGCAGATAAGGAGACTGCAAACACATGGTGTCGTTAGGACATGCATATCAAGTTACCATGTCAACTAGCGTCACCAGTGGAGGACAAGAAGGAATCTTGGCATTTATGGTGTTGATTATAAAACGTCGAGATCCACCGAGAGTCAGAGATACTGTTTGTTTGTTCTCTGTGGGGTCTGTGCTGCTCTCCTTTATCTGCATGTACGTGATTTCACCCTTTGACAGAGCAGCACGATAGATGATATCAATGTCTGTGTGACTCTTTGATACATACGCTGCTTAACTAATGAATTTTATTCATTTAAAAATACAACGCACAGGACCAGGCAAGTGTACATCTATTGCCTTGGAAGACAGAAAGGCCATATCAGACAAAGATGAAACACACTGACAGCGTGCTGATCATATGGCGTCCAGGTGCTTGAAGCAGAACGCTACGTTCAGCTGGAGCACCGTTTATTTTATCCAGCACGTTGTGTGGGACTTCACACCAACTACACCAGCCGCCATCTACTGTGGAACGGCAATATGAGCACAAGGGAGGCTGCTGCTGGATGTTGTGTTGCCTTTGATAGGGATCCCACGGTAGCGCTGGGGGCATGAGCTCAGGACATACATGGTACAGAGGGACACCAGAGCAGTCCTATCAAATCCCGTTAGGTAAGCTGGGGTTAGTGATTCCACGCTGCGAAACACTGGCTAACAGATCCGTCATGTTCCCACTACATCAAAGAATACTGCAGCACTATGCACACACACACATACAAGCCTTCTTCCTCACCATTAGAATCTGCAGGAGTGCGGGGGGTAGAGGGGTACAAGCATATGAGATTAAGATTTTTAAACTCCCCCTGACACCTCGGCTATTTAAGCTACAACCAGCCTTAAAATTAAAGACAGAACTTCACAGGTGAGATGAGTGTATTGTTTCACTGCACCATGGCTACATTTTAGGTGCAAGACCAAAACAACAAAGAGCAACAACATAAATATTTGGTAATATGAAATTATCCATCCCAAACAAGTCTTATGTAGAAAACAGCATTTTCCAGTTAAAAAAAGAATTGACAGGTCCAGCCCTGACCACATTTTCCCCCCTATACGTAACAGCTGAACAAAAAAGAAACTCACAAACAAGCACAAAAAGCTGACTACACCAGGAAGTAAAAATACAGAATTTTGCTGGCTTTAAAAATAAATGAATAAAGGATTAGTCTGATTCACAGACAGGACTAAAGGTGTTCAGACATCACCAGTCCACATACTCTGACCAAAAAGACAACCTCTGAAGTAGGGAAACTTTTCCTTTTGGGGATCATTTGTTGACAAATGCATAATTTAACCTGGAGCGATCATCCATCTCCTCTACTGACTATTCCTACACAAGTGTGATCCTGTTCAAACGCAGGCGTCCATTCATCCTCTGACGACTGACCAGAGGAACATGGACATTTAACTTAAGATACGCAGTTGGACCTGTGCCATTTTGGCATTTGATTTGTGGCAGCCTGCAACGGGCTTCTCCCAGATGACTCTGGTCACACACTGTGTCTATCCATATGCGCCGTCTCCAGCTGCAATTTATAGCACAGTGGAACCAGTAAGTAAGAGTCATGTAGAGAATGAACTAAGAAAGAATTGAACCAGTGATACAATTCTATGAGGGTTAAATTATATTAAAAGGAAAAGTACACAAATCAAATGGAATTTGGTTTGTTTGCTTTTTTACTTCATATACTTTTTTTAATTTAAATTAATCTAATATATATACATAGATAATGATTATTTAAAATGGAAACACATGATCATAATATACAGCGTACAGTCACATGCTCTATCCATCACATACACACCTTTTGCTTATTTAGGGGAAAAACAACATGTAAATGTTAGACAAATTCGGCAGCTAAAAGCAGCTCTTATATCTAAGTGACCTATGAAAGGAGAGGCATTGAAATCTGCTGACAATCAGCAACTCCCCACAGCTCCATCATGACTGGACGGCATGTGCGGGAATGTCATGGTCAATGGAAATCAATCTAAACTACTGGGATTGGGGGCTGTGGTTGGGCCTGAGATGGAAGAGAATGAAAGAGAGAATGAGCCTTTGATCTCAGTGAAAACTGATCCCAGGCCTGCAGATACTGCGACTGCTATGGCCAGCAGCAGAGGCAGCAATCGGACATCAGTCAGAGCCGGACGACTTGGGTTCCACGATCTTTCCACCGAACCCAGGTTTTTTTTTTGTCATTGGGTAAGTGAGAGAAATATAAAATGACTATGGTTTTACTGAAGACGGGTGAGAGGGGAAATTGGGTGAAAAAAAGTAGCTGTAGTAAATGAAATGAAAGCAGTGCTTTAAAAGTCTTGGCAGTGAGTGCAAGCACTTAACTGTCTGGCCTAATTCATCTGCAGTAAGGCTTCATTCACTCGCGTAAAGTCAGCTGGTCTCCATTCAGACCTCAAATTTTCAGAGTGTAAGATGAAATAACTGATAAAATTGAGCAGAACATGAGCCATGAAAAGGAGAATTTAAAAAGCATTAAACTCACACAGTTGCGTTTTAAACCTACAGAAGGTATGTCATGAGGAAATCAGGGTCTTGGTTTTGCCATTATATTACATGCTTTCACACTTTGCAACTTTTGCAACTTGGCTAAGAAAAAGCTACGCAATTTTGACATCACTATGCGATCGAGGTTGCGTATGAATCAAGATCCTTTACACACAGCAGGGGGCATCAGCGCCGGATGATCAGAGCTGCCCCTGAATGCTGAGTTTTATACAAAAACTCTAAAGTCTAAAGTTTTATATATATAAATATATATATATGTGTGTGTGTGTGTGTGTGTGCCTGTTATGTCCATCTTGAAAGCAGAAATTTGCAAACGAGACAGACACAGGAAGCTGCCAATGTCAGACCTGCAGCTGGCCTAGAAATTATATTGTTAACAGAAGCAATTTCTCCAACAGACACCAAACCTCAACAGCACTTCAAATTCAAGACAAGGTGAAGTCTTTTCACCTCCCCAGTCACGGTGGCCACATCAGAGGGTTTATGAGACATGCATGATGTAAGAGTTTGATTGGATATGCTCTTGTCCGCGTGCTAATCAGCTGGAAAATTAGGTTTGTTTCCATGTGGTTTTTGAGGGTGTGCACACTTACAATACTGGTTGTGAACAATATGTAATGTATATTTTTATGGAGTGTCACATAAAATCAAAAGTCAAGATTTTGTTTTAATTTAAATTCCATTCATTGTGATAAAGTTAGGTTTATTTTTGAAAATATATATTATTAAGAAAAAATGGTGATGTTCGAATTGAAAATTCATACAAACAGTTCGGGCCTTTTGGTGCAGAAAGGTTATCGAGTACATGTACGTATTACAATAGTTCACTTCAATGATTGCCTAGCAATTACATATAATAAATGTTACAAGGACTGTAGGAAGAAAAAAAATCCAAGTGATGTACTACAGTAAATGTAGATTTGAAATAAATCAATTGTGATTTACAAAATCAACTCTATTAAAGAGCTGCGACTTTAAAATTCAAAGGTTAAAGGTCAACATTGTCATGTGTTATGGATGATGGAACCAGCTGATACAATCAATAAAATGTATTATTTATGTTTGCATTTTTTTTTAAATGTGTGACTATGACCGTGGCCTTTTCAGTCCACACACTAGTATATGGCATAATACTGCAGTACATAAAAAAATATGATTTTATTTTTTGTTACATTATTCCCAAATGAGTTAAATTTGATAGAGACAACTTAAAAAGAAAAACAGCTACTGACCGTTCTGGGCATGGGCGGTGAGATGGAGCCGTTGGTCATGTAGGAGTCGTTGATGTTACTCATCATGATGTAACCGGGGTAGGCTGGGTAGAGGTGACCTTTGTTGTACATGTCTTGATGCTTTCCTGGTTGAAGAAAATATTTTAAAAGAGAAAGATCAGATTCCTGTATGTTTGTAGGACGCATAATGTTGAAAAGAATATTTAAATTCAATCACACAATAATATTTAATTGCTGCAGTTCAAATAAATAAACATAACTTTAAAATGCATTTTGGACACCGAACCATAAGAAAAACAAAGAGCAAAAACATAAGTGTTGTCCCTTCAGTCTGTGTTGATGGTGTCATCGTATCACTTTCTATCACTTTAACCCGTGCACTGTTTTGCCGTGGCCCTTTGTTTGTGTCTTTTCTTCCCGTGCTTGAGAGGAGGGTCACATTATACAGAAGAACAATTGAGCCCCTCTGTGCCAATTAGCACCAATTAGAAGAACATGCTGACTGTGTCAAAACAGGAGACGCCCCAACTGTTCCTCAATGCCGTTGACCCGAGAAGAAGAGCTTTATGTGAGTGGCCTTTATACGGCACTACTCTCCATTCTACGACGTGCTGGCAGACACGCCGGGGGGGTTGGGAGTGTTGCGCTACAGAGCTTGATGGCAACGTGAATCTTGTTGTGAAGAAAGCCAGTGTTTGGTTTGAGAGGATCCTATTCAAAAGTGAAGGAGGAACAAAGGGTAGACACACTCCAAAGCTCTATAATGATGACCTGCAGCAAAGGGGTCAGACTCCATGAGCTACAGAACAATGAGGCCTGAGCTCCAACATGTTGCATGTGACACTTCAACCAGAGAGCTGACAGCATGGGAGGAAATATTTTACAGGAGGTAATGTAGCTACCAAACCTCCCCCCCCCCCCTCCCTCCCCCTTCCATCACACTCACTCCCTATTTAAACACACAACAAGGGACTAGAACCATCATCCTTTCCTCTTTAAGCATACTTTGTCTTGCCCTATTTCTGCAGGCGCCCTCATCTCTGAGGTGGGTAACAGGTAGCTGTGTCCATGGAGGTACGGCATGTCCAGACTAGACCTGGATCAGACGTCGTCTGTCTGTGAGCACTACAGAAAGGGTGTCTGATAAAAAAACAGGACCGACGGTGTGACTGATCACTTTATATCAATCCTTCCAAGTGTGTTATTGGAGTTTTAACTTTAACTTCCCTGAACACATGCTGATTTATCATGCTCTCACTCCCACAGCTTTGTTACTTACCATCGTCTGTATGGTCTCTGTGTTTTTCATGGTATGAATCTGGTGGTACTTGTGATTGTCTAACTGCCTGTAGAAACAGATAAAAAACAAATGGTGGTAAGAATGGTGAATATGTTACAGTGAGAGACTTTAAAAGCCTTCGACACACACACGATACGTGATGGGGATTCGAACCCACAAACACTATTAGGACAACTGCCAACTTTTTCTTGGCCCTACAGCAGACGTGCTCAAAACATGCAACATTAAACACGTTCACACGCACACAAATGGTGGCACAGACTGCATCAAAGCAACAAAACAACAACATATTTGATCTCAGTGGCCTTAAGAAGCTGACAAATCAACACCTTCTGAATAGCATAGGTTCACTCTTATTTCTCTCTTACAGGTTAGGCCTCCACTTCACTCATCTTTAAACCAGAATTGGGTTAAAAAAAAACCATCAATTAAATTCTTGGTGTTTAAAGCCCTTAAGACAGCTTTATGCAGAGCGAGAGAACTGCGATTGATTCCTTATTAACATTCCATCTCATGCATATGTCTCTGGGAAATTTGGGGGTGTGTATGAATTCACCCAGATTCAGACTGGACGCAAAATTTCATTAACACTGCAGTCGATGACAAAAACAACCTGCTGGAGTTTATGAAATAGCAGCCTTCATCATGCAGAACAGTAAAAGAATCAAATATAACAGTGATGTTTAACAGTCTCTATGCCTCAGTGCATTTTTATTAAATATCACAATAATTACAGAAGGAATATAAAATATATATTCACAACATTAGAAATGAGGCTACTTTAAAACATGTCTACACTGATTAAATGCTTCTATTTACATTCATTTTCTTTGAGATAAAAAAACACATTTCTCTCCTATGATATTTTGTCTTTATTCTTCGTTGGTAATATGCAACCAACACAATTTTCTTCCAATCTTTACCATTTAAATAATAATTGGAATTTGCAGGGAACAAAATTGCAAACATTAAATCCCGATTACTATATTATCATAGGCTGATAAATTTCATTTCGTTTTAATTTATTCAGCTTTCATCTTTGAAATAAGAGGATTTCCTGTTGTTTCTAAGGTTTAGAGCCTTGTGTGCAATGTGGTTGTGTTTACCAGCTCTGGCCTCCTTCACACAGGCAACACAAAAGGCCTCCACTCCAACAGCTACAAAAATATATATATATACGTGATATTTTTACCACAGATATATGATGACTTCACAGTTACAGGAGGTACTGTAATTTTCTGTGTTTAAATGAGCGTGTTTCGCCTTTTTAAATGTAATTTAGACTTTTGTTTTTAATACCATTTCAAATCATAAAGTCATACTAGAATTGAGGGTAGATTCATTTGTGAGGGGTTTTAATGGGATAAAACTCGAGATAAATTTGGCTCCCCAGATTTACTGAAGACTGCAAATACATTTTACGACCTACATTTGATCCAATATTGTGCCAATTATTTAACCAAACAGCCGTAGATCAATCTAAAGGTTTTTTAAAGAGTGAATATCATAAATAAACATAATAATAAGTGGAATTATTAGTGATCAAAAGACATCAGCTTTGTTTGCAGGCGGTTTCACCTTTCTGAAGGGGTTGATGCTCAGGTTTTATCACTCGTCACATGAGTGAATACACACACGCGCGCGCACACACACACGTCCACAAACACACAGAGAGGGAGAGCTCACGTCGTGACTGTTGCTGTTGGGGCTGCTCTCGGACTCGTTGACCAGAGACGACTTGATATCGGCCAGGTCTCCCTCCTCCTCGGAGTGGCTCAGCTCGGCGAAGATCTGCTCCTTGTGCGGGTCTCCTTCGTCTTTGAACGGGATCATTTCATCGGTAGCGCACAGTTCCGGGTCTCCGCCGCCGCCGTTTGATAACTGTGGCATTTTTAAAAAAAATCGTTTTTCCTTCACCAAGAAAATTCGGCAAAACCCACACAGAGAAACAGGGTGGAAAAGCCCCAGTGGAATCCCTAACAATCGTCCCTTGTCCTCTGTTCAACCGGGGCGTCGAGCGTGCGGACGCGGCGTGCAAACGCGCAGCCGCTCGGTGTGTTTTTAATGAAGCAACAGGAGGAAGGTTTCTCCGTGTCCCCCTTCCTTTTTAACTCAACACCCAGGGTATGAGAACCGGAAAGTTGAACAAACAAAAAAAAGACGAACGGCGGGGAACAGAAGAATTGGTGTCCGGTCTGCACCTCAGTGTCACACGAGTGGAAACAATAAAAAGGAGAAAAATCTCATCACTTTTTGTCACTTAACATGCGCACCAGTGACGATGGATATGGTCCAGAGGCAAACACAAGTCATGAGCAAAGAGCATTTGAGATATTCCCTCTGTGGTCCAGTAAGAACAACTTTTGTCTTCTTTTTTTTAGGAAAAAAAAGAAAAGAAAAATTAATTAAAACATGGTTTCTTGCAGGTGAGTCTGGCGGCAGAACACAGTTCAACACTGAGAGAAGAGCTTTGTTTTCAAGTGTCGGAATGAAGACACCGTCAGTGAGGAGTGATAAAAGCAAAAAGTCATGAAACGGTCAAAAAGTAACGAAAGAAAGACGAAAGATACAGAGAGAGTCGAGAAATGCCGTGTATCCACTTCCCACTGCTGTCCTGCTGCTTCCACAGTGTAATGTAACCAGTGTGTGTGTTGGTAATGTAGCCCTGCTCCCTCCTCCTCCACCGCCCCCCCTCTCTCCCCTCAGTCAGTGGAAGGAAGGAAAGATGAAAGAGAGTCTGACTGACACCGCACCGACTGACACTCCTCCTCAGACACAGCTCACAACAAATGGGCAGACAGGAGGAGTAGGGGAATAAGGAGGAGAAGAAGGAGAAGGAGAAGGACACCGGGTAACAGTGTGACGAGGTTAACGACCGCAAGAATTAATAAAAATGAGATTTGAAAAAGACAGAACACATCAACAAAACAAGAGCGTGAAAGTGTTTTAATGTGGATTGATTATGAAACAGAATTTTAGCAAAGAGTTATTTACAAAACCACCAACAAAGAGGGAAGAGGAGAAATAAAAAAATTAAATAAAATAAAGTGGTCGTCTCGGCCTCGTGTAGACCTTTTTTTTAGAATTACATTTTTAGGTCTTCTAAAAAAGCTGTTTTTAAAATGACCTTAAATGTTTTGAATATTGTTACCTCGTCAGTGTTTTTATTGAATCGTTTAATAATGCGTTTTTTAAAAAATGTTTATTATAGTTCTATGAATAATATGGTGAAATGGTAAATTCAAGACATGGCCTCAATATAAATATATATATGTATAAAAAATAAATAATTCAGGCCTTGGCCTACGCCTTTTATTTAAATTCAATCAAAGCGGACACACGTGCATACGTGTAAATGAAGTGACTCCTCATTCTGTCGGTTCGGCCCAACGAGGAAACACTTTCTGAATAAAGAATCAACAAGATTTCTCACGAGGTAGAAATGACATGAGAAAACACGGCGGAGTAGAACTGGTGTGGAGCGAGAGCCTGAGCCACTCAGAGATTGCGTGAGAATCAAAGTTGGGATGGAGAGGCAGATCTTTATAAAGCGCGGAGGTGGGGTTAGCGGGGCGGAGATGCGGCTCCCTTTGATCTCGCGGCGGCTGCCTCTTTCATCCTCGACCCCCCTCCTCAGTCCCCCACTCCTCCCGCTCCCCCCGACAGCAGCAGCAGCAGCAACACCACCCTCCCCTCGATCCCTCCTCCCTTCCCTCGCTTGCCTTTGTATGACTAAATTTGGACGAAGTATGGAACAGGGCCAAGATTTCCACGCGTGCGTGTATCCCAGCTGAGGGAGAGGGGGAGAGAGAGAGAGAGAGAGAGAGAGAGGGAGAGGGAGAGAGGGAGTTCTCTTCCGGGTAAGCAGACAGAGTGAGAGAGAAAAAGATCAAAAGCTTTGGGGTTTTGGAAGCGGAGTATGATTTTTTTTTCTCCTTTGGCTGAATTCCAGAATGTAGCGGAAAGCGCGCGCTCACACTTGGCGACCAATAAGCACGCGCACGAGAGAGCCAGGCGCCTGCACGCGCATGGAGAGAGTAGGCCCGGATCTAGACCGATGAAACATTTCTCTTCTTTCTTTTAGTGCGGGGGTTGCAATGAAATTATTTGGGGGATGGGGGTATATTTTAACAAGGTTTTAGAGCCACATTATGAAGAGAAAAAGTTAAAGTTAATGTGTTAGATTAGAACAAAAAAAAATACAAACAAGAATTGTATTACCTTTAAAAGTTATAGAAATTTCACGAGTTTATAAGGATTAAGTTTGAAATACTACGAGAAAAAGGGCATTAGTTCATGAGAATTAATTAAGTTATATTTTGTGAAAACATGTTTGCAACAATAATGCAAGTTTATGAGAATATATTTACAAAATTTACAAAAATGCAAACATTTCTGAGCTTAATAACTTATAGAAACAACTATAAAAAAACAATAAATGTATGAGAATAAAATTAACTAAATGAAAGATGTGCGTTCTAGAGATAAAAGATTACAAGAATATTTTTCATAATATAGTTTTAAAAAACAATTATATACATTTAAAAAAGTGGTAAGTTTATGAGAAGAGTTATAAAAGAACATGCAAATAGTAGATTTATAAAAAAATTTAAACAGAAAAGAGTTTGAAAAAAGAAGACAAACAACACTGAATTTGAAAATGAAAAAATTAGAAACTTAAATTAGAAACTGAAATACATCATTCTTGTGTCATACTTGTAATTAAAAAAATAATCCATGGACTGTTCTGGTCAGTCCACAGATTTTCTTTGATTTAATTAAGAGAAAATATTTTATAGCCTCTAAGATAATAATTAAATTATCTTAGAAGGTGTTGATTTTGTTCTGATGATATCAACCATAAATTAAATGTTGTTTGTTAGATTTACATCATATAGCTCTCAGACCTGTCAAAATTAACATGTTATTCCTGTTAATTACTCAGTGAATATTAATCAGATAATACATTTTAATGAATTTAAAAGTATGGGCTGCATGACACACTGTATGTTAAAGATTTACACCATCCATCCACTTATTGCTGCCTCTGTTTTAAAAATTAGCTCAAGCTTAAAATACCATCTCAACTCCCAGCATGCATTGTGGAGGCTTCAACAGCATGCGGCATCAGTCCAGCCTCACTGAGGGCAGTGCAGTAAGTGTACAGCTGACACAATTGTCACTGGATATTGAGGAGACCGTGATATATATCATTACTAACCACATTATCAATCTAATTGAAAAATTGTTATTGCTTGAAAGCCCTAATACATCAGGTCTACAACAGTGAGTAGAAAATGTCCTAAATGTATTCTGCTCTGTTGGAGATCACTGTCTTCGCTAAAGCCTTGCCCAAAGTATGAGGGAGACAGAGCGAGAGAAAAGGGTTATTTAAGTGATTAAAAATCACCAATTTTAACCAATATATCATTTAAAGCCATTAGAAAACTATAAAGTGCTTAAAAGTACTTCATTAAAGTGCTTCTCCAATCAACCCTTAAATTTTGGCACAATTTAAAAAGATCATCCCACCACCCACCATCACCCAGCAGCACAGCTGTCGGGAACAAAACATAATTTTCTTTTAATGTTTTTATTTTTAGCAATCACCTATGACAGATTAAGTTCTTAATGGGAAAAATTGGGATTTTGGTATTGACATACCTTACCTAGGTATGAGATTATTATAAAGTACTAAAAAAAGAAACAGCAAAGACCTGCAGGGCCTGAGATAAAAGGTGAGCGGATCCAAACTTCTGTAAGAGTCGGGCAGTAAATGAAGAACTTAAGAAATTAAGGCTTGATATTAGTAAACAGGCTAGAGCAGGTCATCAATAGTTAAATCTTAAATCTGAATGTAATTATTTTATTTTTATTTTTGTGTTTTTCTCTCTATAGAGTCACTTAATCACAAGTAAAAAAAAAAGCAGAGATTGAATTGATCGATCAAACATTTTTCAAACCTGTGGGAAATGTAGTTGTTTTCATTAGCCTCAGTTACTACAATGTAAAGATTTAACATAATTGTTCAGTCAGTGTGAACATAGAACTACAACTAGTGGACTAATACTGACAGGTGGTTTGGGGGGGTCAGGTGGGAGCAGGTTGAATATTGGCTGAGAATAATCTGGGGCTGTTCACAAATGTCTTTTTAACAAGTAGAAAAACAGTCAGCAGTCAAAGTGTTACTGTTTGTTTACCAACTCTGACCAAAGGATATTGTCTGGGCGTATTCCCAGTGGCTCCCTAAATATTTCTACAGCGCCCCCGCCCCCTCTCCCTTTTGGTAGATAGGACTATTGCCAACACATTCACAACTTTTTCTTCAAAACTTCACTGAACTTTATTTAAAAATCAGGAGGAAAGTGCTCCTATGGCGTACAACCGGCAAATGTAAATGAAGACGTCTTCTGCGTATATGGCACGGCACAATGACATATTCATCCACTACACTCGTTAACTGTTTCCTATGCGAACTAGTTGGTGAGTTTTAACAGTGTACATCACAATGATGGAACAAGACTTCATAAAAAAATCTATGGTAGATGGCGACATAACCACAAACACCAAGTTCTATCTATCTATCCATCTATCATACCCTGCAGTCATCAGGTGAGGTCCAGGTACACCCTGGACAGTTCACCAGTCCATCACAGGGCCACATACAGAGACAACCATTCACACTCACTCATAGCTACTGTATGGGCAGTTTGCGTGACCTTTTAACCTTTACTCAATCTTCCTGATTTTGGACTGAAGGAGGATGATCGACAAGAGCATAAAAACCGTACAGCTCAGAAAATACTCTACTGCTACATATTCAATTTCAAATAGACTCCGAAGGAATGAGATATTCTGATCTCAAAAGAGTAAGTGCAGCAACTGAGTGAGAGATTAATAATATAATGTCTCCTAGTGCATATTGAGAGGCCACTGCAGTGGAGCCCCATCTCCTTGATTAGACGTCTGTGAGGAGACGTCATTTTTCCTCATGCTCACGCACTCGTTCACTGACAGATATGGATTTTTCTTTTTCCTTCATTTAATGAGTGATGTTTGCCGCAGCTGTGTATTAGGGACACGCCAGCGCAGATAAAGATGGAGCTTTTGTTTGCTGTGTAATGATTCAAGTTTAGTGACTCAATGACAAGGCAGCAAACACAGGCTGCCTAATGAAGCTGCTGTCACAACCAGTTTAAACACTTTCCCTTGACATCAAAATGCGTCACGTTCCCCGGCGAGGTGCCGTTTTCTTTTCTTTTTTTCTCAGCTGCGGTTGTTAAAATACCCACGGAAGTTGGTGTGGAGAGAAAAAGAAAAGAAGGAGAAATGGTAGAGGAGAGGAAAGGAGGTGGGAAATCGCAGCTACATTAGCATTTTTCCTCCTAATGAGTTCGTAAGAGTGACCCCTCTGGATCGCACATGAAAAGGAAAATTTCCTGCTGCGCTGTGACCTGAATTCAGTTGTCTCTCACTTTAGACACTACATCTTGCATGTTGTATAAGGCAGCTATACAGTATTCTAT